TTTATTTTTTGTTTCTGCACACTCCGCTCTCCTGAACCCTTCCATTCGTCGCGTTGCCGTTTCATTCGTGGCAGTTCAATCTCAAAAATTTCCGTTATAAAATCCGGTTGCAGGTAGAAATGAAAATTTCCGAAATCAACGTCGCGTCCCTCAATTCCCCCTCCTTCCCTTCACCAGTCGGATGAGACTGAAGCCTCTTGTTCAGTCCTTTGAATTAACCAACGGACGCTTTTCCTGTCTGGACTCTCTATATGTAATATTCTCCGCTGTTTATCGGATTTCGTATTACGGATCCCCTGACTGCCATCGCATAGGATCGTCCAATTTTCGAGCCGATATTTTCTATTGGTCGTTACACGCCACGTGCGTGTGTGTGTGTGTGTGTGTGTGTGTGTGTGTTCGTGTGTCGAGAGGCGCTGACGCGGATTACAGGACGCGAGGGTGAAAATCTGTATACGTATATAATCGAATGACGGTTGGTAGGAGAAGGCCAAAGAAAGCTGGAGAACCATGAGGGGGAAAGAGAGGGGAGTGGAACAGAGGGATGGAGAGAGAAAGAGGATCCTAGGAGGAACACTGGAAAGAGAGAGGAATCCTTTTTCAGGGCGATGCCTAGGCTCCTAATTGCATGCCAGAGAGTGACTGCATCTCTCCTTCCCGTTTCCCTGCTATTTTCACCCTCTCTATTGCACTCTCATTCTTCGTCCCGCGCGCGCGGTGAGTATTTGCAAGCTGCCCACCTCTTCCTCCCTCCCCTCAACAGCACGCCACTCCGGAAACGTGGCATAAGAAACGTTATTGCGCCACTCCGTGAAATTTCCTGGTACGACCCAGCAGCCGCTATCCCCTTTCTCCATTTCGTTACTCCACCCCCATCTTTCTCTCTCCCTCTCTTTCTCTCTCTCTCTCTCTCTCTCTCTCTCTCTCTCTCTCTCTCTCTCTCTCTCTGTGGCTCACTCTTGGCAACGTGCATTCGGAAAAGACGGCGAGCAAGTATATTACGCTCCTGGGTTGACGTTCTTCCGGTATCCTTTCAACCGGGATGCTAATATCGCCGAACACGAACGAAGAAAGAAACACAACGCTGGAAACGAGAATGAAAACGGCTTAGCGAGGTGTCGTTTCATGCCCGTTGAGGAATTTATCCGCTTTGGATATGCAGGCTGCACGAATGATTCGGTATAGTTATCTGCATTTAGAGAGAAGAAGGTGGACAGTTATCACACACGCTGCCATTAGGAAATCGCGAGGGACGTAGTATATGTTACCGATTCGTATTTTTACTTACACATGTACTGAATCAGGCCCTTCAATCTTCAGTACGTTATAATTATATTCAATGTTCAACTGTGATCAAGATTTGACCCTTAATGTTGCGGCCTGTTGATAGGATTGAAATGTCCTTCGACGCTTGGCAGCGAATTTGTTAACAGGTACTCTGTAACAGGTCTCCGTACACTTTTAGCTAGGTGTTGTCAGTTTAATTGTTAGGAGATTAATTGATATCTGTTGCATTGTAACCTTGCGATATTTATGGAGTCGATAAAAATACAGAAAATGGCCACCAGCGTCACTCGAATCCGTAGGATTTAATCTTTTTACCTGGAAGTACCGACTGCAAAGTAGTCGCTTAAAGTTTGCAAGTACCAAAAGTTAAATGGTAAAGTTTTAGCTGGATCCGGATAGGTCCGTGCATCGTTCAGCAAGGATTAAACAGTGACATAAGTGACGAAGTCATCTTAGCGCGTAATGAAAGTCTAGAGTGCTATACAGGGTGGCATATAGGCGCTGGTATAACCGGGTAGGGGTGATTCTACCTGAAAAAATAAGTCAAAAATACAGAATAAAATTTTTTCATTTGAATCTTCGGTTTCAAGAAAATTGTATTCGAAAATCTGCTAAATATGCGTGCAATTGAATAGCGTCTGTTCATTGCATTCCGTTTCTACTTACTACCATGAATACACACGTTCAAGATTAATGTTCAAAGCCGGTTTTCTCGAAAATGAAGTCTTAAATGAACAAATTTTATTCTATATATTCGATTTATTTTTCCACGTCGAACATACATACATGTTATATCGAAAAAGATCGAATCATGGCAAGTTCTGATGTTCAAACATAGTAACAATAATTACTAGACTACGGATGTTTATGCAGATTAAAAATTTTGGGCACTGACATTATAAAAACTGAAATTGGACAGAATTCTGTTTCTTGTACCAGGGATTTTAATATATTAATAATAATACTTAAATACTATTAAATTTGACTAGAACTGTTGCTACGTTTTACAAGTCAGTGAACGCTATAAATGCATAAACATCCGCAGCCAATTAGTAATGAAATCTAATTCAGTACGTAAATCACACATTTATTTCACCCCAACTTCACTGGCAACTTCTGATTAGTCTGTATCATTCGCCGCCGTGATTCCTAGTCGATTCCGATTATTGTGCCCATTAGTCGATACAGAACAAAAGCAGATTGGTTAAACGAGGTTTGGGGTGGGGGGGGGGGGGGGGGGGGGGGGGGGGGGGGGGGGGGGGGGGGGGGGGGGGGGGGGGGGGGGGGGGGAGATTGGCCGATGTCGTGGAAGAGCATGTGCATGATTGCATGATGGGATTTAAACGTCAATACCAGCAAGTTCCGAGAGCCCATTAAAGAGGATTAATTTATTGCCGTAGCTTTACTCAAAAACAATCGAATTCGTCGCATCCTCTCGGCTCCTGTTCTCGTAACGATATTCCATTTAAGAGGATTAGTTCGCTCCGTAATTTTCAATTTACTGCACCGCCGTTACCAGTGTCTGTGTTAATTAAATCGAGCTCAACTTCCGCTTTGCGCGTACCACTCGACGCAACACTCGAGCGTGCCGGGTTTCAATTTTCTAAACGAATAATTTACCAGAATCTTTATCGGGCCCGGGCGTTCGAAGTTCTTCTCACCGATAGAGTCTTTTGTACATACTTAACGTAACGAAAGAAGGACACAGGTGGCTTCGTTTAGTGTACTGTGTTTGGTTGAGGGTTACTGGTAGAGAGTCCTGTACCTGTTGATCCCTTGCTAGGGACTCCTCGGTCCGTTCCTATGATCCTTCTACATATAGGACGCAGGGGGAGGTAAATAACTGCTGGTAGGTCGGGGGAGTGGAATTATGCTAGCTTCTCGAAAAGCAATAAAATAAATCATGCTACGCGAGGACACGTTGCGGCACCGGTATCCACGTTCCTTCGTCCGTCCTTCATCCACCGCCTTCGATACGGAGGAGAAAGCTGCCGAGGCGACTCGTCCCGCGGGAAATCAGAGAAAGATGCACTACGTCGCAGAGGCCCTTTTCCTCATCCCCCTCCCTCTCCTAAACTACCCTTCTTCTGTTCGTCGTTGTGCCGTCTCACCACTGAACGACGCCTCGCGTTTCCGCCTATTGCGCGCGCGCGTATGTGAGTGTATATGTGTGTGTGTATTCTCTCGCGTGCTTTCTTGTTTCTCGAGCGGCAGAACCGATCGGTCGACAAGACGGCTCTCGATGGAAAAGAAAAAGAAGCCTCGACGAGTAAGAGAACGGGAAAAGGGGGGAAAACGAAGGTACTCACCGTGAGCCGCGAACGCATTGTGTTTGCGCCAGGGCGGCGTCAAATCGAGTTTCTCGCGCAATTCACCGTGGAACTCGGGGCCTCCACCAGTCAGATGGCTGGAAATCCAATCGTCGTTCGATCGGTTTATGAATCGTTAATCGTTCGCATTCGTTTCACGACGACGGATTAACCGAAGATTTTTTATTAAGAGCCACTGTGACCCATGATCCGTTGTATATGCACTCGGGAGTGAATGGAATTATCGGCGGAACGAAGCACGGATAGAGACGATTTAATAGTTTGAAGCTAATCGAGTTATCGCTGAATCGACTGTTCTTGAAGCTGCGCGAGCCGTTTCAAAGGAATTTTTTCGTTGACGCGATTAGCCTCGCGAGTTGCAGTTGCGTAACACAGCAATAATCTGCGTTGATCTATGCTTTAGAAGTGGTGTTTCAAAGAGATTTCTTGAATGTCTTGATTATCATTCGGGTCGGTAAATGCAGGAAAGATAGGAAACATATTCGACGATACTAAGTTCGAAATTAAACGTTTATGAAACATGCTTATCTTCCAGTCAGACAGACACAGAAGTGTGTTTTTATCGGTACAGTTTTGGAGTGCTTCCTACACAAGTTTTCTCCAGTCTCCGCACAACTGACACAGCAGACGATAAGATATACACATAAAATATAGAATGTGTGCACGCACACACGTAAGTTCAGCTCAGTTATGTGTACATGACGATGGTGAACACGGGAAACCACTCAGAGAACCTGTTCGAGTCCCTACGTTCTGAGACGCGGGAAAGACAGCTTGCATTCGACACGCATACTTGGAAAGTATATGTTTCTTTTGTTTTACCATTTATCAGTCTCTTTCTTTTTTTACGTAGCAAAGACATTATGTAGGATTAAAAGATGAGTCTTTAATACTAATGTATCATACGCTATCAAGGAGGGACAATTACTGCATCAGTTTTCCAGAAAACTGTTCTAACATTAGACATGTAAGTTTTAACATCGGTTAGATTGGTAGTAACAGTTTTAATAAACAATCACAAAAAAGTTATAATTAGGTAACCAGTCAGACGCACCTACCATTAATTATAGTCGAATATTCTTTCCAGACATCCCTGTTATTTCTAAAGGAACATCATTTTTGTAAATAATTCCAAAAGCGTACCATAAAAAAGTATAAATCGCTTACATATAAAGCACTACGAATTCGAATCAGTTCTTTTTCTGAATGACGTTGTATCCGTGCCTCGCGGACGTGTCCATGAGAAATATAATGTTAAATAACATAATCTCACAATTTCGATATATACGCCCAGAGGCCGCCAATGGGCTTGTTTAAGAAGAGATTGGGTGACATTTCCAAAGGAAGTTGCGTTTTCGGTGACAGTTCTAGCTTGTAGTTGTCTAAAAGGGTAGCCAAGCAGCGTTTCACCGTCACCATCGCCATTCTCATACCGACGCACATCCTTGGACCCTCTCCGAACGGCATGAAAGTCATTTTCTCTATGGTTCGCTTTCTTTCTTCGCTGAAACGATCGGGATCAAACTTCTCTGGATCCGGCCAGTATTTCGGGTCCATTTGCAGCCCTTCGACAGGTATAAGTACAGCCGTCCCTGGTTGTACCCAGACACGCAATCCGTCGGAACCGACTAGCTCGAACTTCTGCGTGCACCTCTTTCTGAAGAAGCTTACCACGGGGTTCAGACGTTGCGATTCACTGATCACTTGTTCCATGTACGTTAGATCCTTCGCGGCCTCGAACGTTAACACACCGCCGTGTTTAGCGATCGCAGATTTTACTTCGTCCCTCACTTTCTGCTGAATGTCCGGATGTTTCGCCAATTGATATCCTACGTAAGATATGGTTATTCTGCTGGTCTCGTATCCGTCGAGAAAGAAGGAGAGCGCGTGAGACGTGAGCACATCCGTGTCCACTTTTTCACCGCTCGTCTTCTCGAGTTCGAGCATCGTTTGGAAAAAGTCGTTTCTCTGTGTCTCTGTGTTTCGTCTCGTCTGCAGATTCTCGTCGACAACATCTCGGAAGAACTTAGCCACGTGTTTCGGCACGAACGGGAACCTGAATAAACGGTTCACACCTGGTTTGAAAGTGAGTAACGTACCCACAATCCCGTTTATGTAACTGTGTTCGAAGGTGTCTATGCCGAGTTTCTGGAAGCTGTTAGCCGGCGGATTTTCGTCGAAACAGTATCCCTCGATACCTAGGCCAGCGTTCGCCACGGTCTCGGCTGTGAATCTTCCGAAGAATTCTGTCAACTCGACTTCGTACTTGTCTTTCGTCTTCAGTTGTTTGTTCAAAAAATCTTCGAATTTCTTGGTCACCCCGTCGACGGCTTGGAACAGAATTTTCAGCCTCACATTAGAGAACGCGTAGGTAAATCGTTTTCGTCCATTTATCCACTCCTCACCGTAATTAAAGAATGGATTCTTTTCTAACAGAGGCTCCACTCCTGGCACCAGAAAAGTTGAATTATCATGGAAGCTCGGGAAGTTAGATTGCATTATGTTTTTCACTAATTGCGGTTCTCGAACCACCAGTATCGGATCGAACAGATTGTATACTCCGAACATACTGTGTTGTTTGTAAGCTTTGTACATGTCGTAAAAATATTTTCCGCTTTGTTTTCGCAAACTGTACACCGGGAAAAAATGACCGAACAACGGTACGAATCCATCGGCTGTCGGGATCCTGCGTCTTTTCCAGTAAGTGTATACGCTTATCACGTAGAGCAGCAGTATGCCCAATGCACCGGCAAGCAGTTTCAAAGTCGTCTGGTCCATGGTTCCTCTTTGTGGATGCAGAAGGCACAAGCTAACCCACGAGTTACTCGTTGGCTACTGTCCCTATGAAGCTGATGTCGCGTACTGCGCTGACCATAGTATTCTTTCGTATGTGTTACGTAGTGTGTATCATGGCGACGTGATGATTAACGTTTATCAGTTTAACCGGGGCGCAAGCCCGTCGGCTCTAGCAACTATCGTACACGCGGTGTTATCTATTAGAAAACTGATGGAGTATTCGGTACAAACAGGTATTACCGTATTGTCAACAATTCATTACGCTGCTCGAATGACTCTCCTCGTCGTCACGTATTACAGTGTATGAACTAAAGTATAGATCAGGAAACGCAGAAGTCAATACTGTATGCGTCGTAGCCCGAACGACAACAGAACGTTACGTCTTTGGAATCTACACTGATACACCAATGTGCGTGTCACGTTCAGGCAAGATATAAACGTGCAAGCGAGATTATACAAATTGCACAATTACGAAGTGAACTGGCCTTGCACGAAGAAGATTTAACTCACACAACTGGTGGTTTTTAGTTACTACTAATTACACATTTTGTCAGCGTACAAAGTATAATAGAATGAATTCATCTGGAAATTAAAATAACTCTGACAAAAATAAAGATTTCGAGCTGAAATGTTTTTGGCAGTTAATGTAGGCATGTAATAGTAAAGAGTGACAGTATGAATTTAATGATCGGATAACTTTTCCGAAATTTTTTATAAATTATGGAAAAAATAATTTACAAAGTAATTCTTACATAATTGAACTCAGCATAAGAAATTTCTGGATAGTGGTAGTTGATTTTCACCTAAATGCCCCCCTTCGTCACCTTAATGGACTTTTTGGGCAATTTTTTCATTTTTGCGATTAGCCACGAGTCATATTTGCATGAAACGGAATTAATCTGCGTTGATATTTGCTTCAGAAATTTTTCGAATGGCTTCATTATTCTGGTGGGTGTCAATAAATGCAAGAAGGATAGGTAACACATTGTTTATTGACAATTATTTTGAAATATTTCATACATCCACTGTTCAACGACACTGTATTCGAAATTAAACATTCATTAAACAAGTTGATCTTCAAGTCAAACAGACACCGAAACTTGGTGTTGTCAATATGTACGGCATAAGTTAATCAGTTAAAAGATCTAGCTCTGTATCATTAGCTCTCAAGGACCCACACCTACTGCATTAGTTTCCCAGATAAATGTTCTAACATTAGATATGTAGTTTCACAACATCGGTTAGATTCGCAATAACAATTTCAACAAACGCTTAAAGAAAACATTAAAATAAGGTACACAATCAGTAGCAACGACCAGTTGTTTATCTGAACAGCATCCCATCGATTGCCTCTCGAAGGTATCCATAAGAAATATATTCTATTTACCTCCGAACTTTCGTAATGTACAATTTATCGGAGTGGAAAGTTATACTCTTGAGACTGTTGTTCATATTTTTAAAATACTGCAAACAAACTATCATACATAGTAGTACGCTACCCTCACGCCATAGAAAAGGAGTAGAAACAAATTCTACTGCTGATAAAATCAAAAAATAATCTCACAATTTCGAAATCTGTGCCCAGATGCCGCCGGCAGGCTTGTTTAAGAAAAATAAGACCGACATTTCCAAAGGAAGTTCCGTTTTCGGTGAGAGTTCAATTTTATAGTTGTCTAAAAAGGTGGCCAAGCAGTATTTTATCATTACCATCGCCATTCTCATACCGACGCACAACCTTGGACCGTCTCCGAACGGTATGAAAGTCATCTTCTCTATGCTTCGCTTCCCGTCTTCGCTAAAACGATCCGGATCGAAGTTCTCTGGGTCTTGCCAGTGTTCCGGGTCCTTGTGCAGCCCGTCGATAGATATAAGTATGACGGACCCCGGTTGTAAGCAGACACGCAATCCATCGGAACCGACTAGCTCGAACTTTTCCGTGCACTGTTTTAGGAGGATGCCCACTGCAGAATGCATGCGTTGCGACTCACTGATCACTTGTTCCATATACGTTAATTCCTTCGCGGCCTCGAACGTCAACACTCCGCCATGTTTAGCGATCGCGGACCTCACTTCGTCCCTCACCTTCTGCTGAATGTCCGGATGTCTCGCCAACTGATATCCAACGTAAGAGAGTGTTATCCTGCTCGTTTCGAATCCGTCAACGAAAAAGGAGAGCGAATGAGCCGTGATGTCCTCCATGTTTATTTCTTCACCGCTCGTCTTCGCGAGGTCGAACATAGTTTGGAAAAAGTCGTTTCTTGTTGTCTCTGCGTTTCGTCTCATCTGCAGACAATCCTCGACGACACGCCGGAAGAAGTTGTCCACGTGTTTCGGCACGAACCGGAACCGCAATAAACGGTTTATACCTGGCTTGAAGACGACGAGGTTACTTAGAAACGCGTATACGTAGCTCAGATCGAAGGTATTTCTGCCGAGCGACTGGAAAGAATTGGGCGGCGGATTGTCGTCGAAGCTGTATCCCTCGATGCCTAGGCCAGCGTTGGCTACTGCCTCGGCCGTAAATCTCCCGAAGAATTCTTGCAACTCGACTTCGTACTTGTCTTTCGTCTGCAGTTGTCTGTTCAGAAAATCTTGAAATTTTTTACCCACCCCGGCGACGGCTTGGAAGAGAATTTTCAGCCTCATACTGGTGAACGCGTAGGTCAATCGTTTTCGAGCGGCCATCCATTGCTCAGCTTCAGCAAAGAATGGATTCTTCTGTAACAGAGGATCCACACCTGGCGCCAATTTCCAGGCATTCTCATGGAAGCTCGAGAAGTTAGTTTGCAGGATGGTCTTCACTAATCGCGGCTCTCGGACGACCAATATCGGATTGAGAATGTCGTATATTCCGAACATACTGTGTTTTTTGCAGTCGTTGTACATCTTTTGGAAATGTGTTCCCATGTTTATTCGCAAACTATATATCGGCAAGAAGTGACCGAATAAAGGTATGAATCCATCGGCTGTCGGGACCCCGCGCCTTTTCCAGTAGGTATATACACTTATTACGTATAGCAGCAATAAGGCCAATGCCCCAGCAAGCAGTTTTAAAGTCGTGGAGTCCATGTTTCGTCTTCCTGGTTGCGAAGAACACTAACTAGTCCGCGAGTTACTCGGCGGCTACTGCGCCTATGACAGCTCTGTCGCGTACTGCAACGATCACTGTACTTTTTTGCATGGGTTACATAGTATGTATGCATGTAGTTCCATCATGATAAACGTGTATCAGTTTAACCGGTTCCCATAGGTGTCGGTGCTCACAATTCACTCACACGCGCTGTTATGAAAAGTCTGATCTAGTATTTCGTACAAACTGGAACTGTCGTGGTATAAACGTTTCATTACGCGGTTCTGATGAGTCTCCTACTTAGTTATCGTATTGTTTCTGTACATTCGTGAAAGTGTTCATCAGCGAACACATCAGAGAATATTGAAGCGCCACGCCATTCCAGACTAAACTGATGCATCGTATATAAACGTGCAAGGACGGTTACATAAATTGCACAGTTACGTAAAGATGAAGGTCCAGCATACAGAGCTTATTCTTGATTACTCATCACGCATCTTGTGACAATGTAGAAACTATGCTATAAATAACTTCTTTTTAAATTAACGTAATTGTGACAAAAGTAAAGTTTTCGAGCTGACATTTTTTTGCAGTTATGTAGGCATGTGGTAGTGGAGAAATAAGTGCACCGATTTGACAATCGAGTCATTTTCTCGAACTTTTGCTGAATTTATAGAATAAAATTATTTACCATAGAAGTAATTCGTGCATAATTGAATTCAGTGTAAAAAATGACATTAAAATACGTGTCTTCAAAGTTTTATTTGGAAAGTGAGTGGCAGTTGGTTTTCACCGGCATCCTCCGCCCCCCTCAAGGGGCCATGTATGGTTGTAAGAGGGAAAAACGATTTTTTGGGAATTTTTCAGGAAACAGCGTGTGTAGTTATTTTCGCAAAAGTTTTTGTATCTGATAAGGGCTCAATTAAAGAAGATTTTGTTAAGTTTAGATGCAAAATATTGACGTTTTTAAGAATTATTATGTAGGATTTCTCGGAGGGCCCTTTTAGATAGATGGTTCGCGGTGACCATTCCCGTTCAGAAATGAATCATCTGATATTAAAATTTCGGGGAGATTTTAGTTAATATGTTCATTTATTTAGTTTTTAATCGAAGCATTTTAGAAATAAATTATTTAGGACAGATTAACGGTGATAGATAGATATGTGATCGATTGTTATTTAATGAGACGTTTTTTTTTCGACCATAAAATAAAAACTGAGCATTAAAATATGCAATTCTTTTATTAGAGACTGGATTCTTAATTGGTATGAGTGTTGCTATCCCAGGAAGCACAATAAATAATCTATCGTAAAAAATAATCAAGTGGTACGGGTCCAATAAGATTTTGTTATGTAGAAAGTGTAAGTTATAAATATAAACATGACTGTCCTTCCTGCGATAATGGCACTCATACGATGTAGTTACATATCTTTTTAATTTTTTTATCTGAAATGAGTCTGAGCTGAGAAATCATCTGCGCCATTGAGATATCTTTTTTTGAAGAAAAAACTTAAAATTTAATGAATTTATTTTTGCAATTTTTTTCATATTATTTATAAGTAGTTCAGTAAACACTATCAAGATGCGTTTGATTTTTTCGTTCAAGCGATTAGGCTTGAATCGAATTTGTGTGAAACATAATTAACCTGCATTGATCTCAGCTTTAGAAATGGTGTTTCAAAGAGATTTTTCGAATGTCTTGATAATTCTTGGAGCTAATAAATGTAAGAAATTTAAAAAACAGATAGTTTATTGACAATCAAAATTCTGATCAAATATTTGATGCATCTACTATTCAAGAAGTATTCGAAATTAAACGTTCATTAAACATGTTGATCTTCAAGTCAAACAGATACAAAAGTTTGTTTTTATCAGTGCCAGTTTGGAGTGTTTTGTTCCTCTACAATTTTTTCGGATCTGCACACAATTGACACGCTAGACGATAAGATATTGTTACACTAATACTTATTTTGAGGTGATAGGGCAACGGCCACGTTACTGTGTGCAAGTAGACAAATAAATTGAGATCCAGTCATACCTGGTGCAGAAAAACACAATCAGCTTTTATTATAAAAAATATGATGGATACAATACAGTGACCGCACGGTCGTATCTCTGTTGAAGAGTGTCAGTGAGATGGCAGAAAGAAACGCAGTACAAAAAACTAAAAGTACATAGGAGGGCGTCACACACTCTTCACTCTATTCGCAGCTATTAGTATATGTAATCTAGTTAGTGTCAACAGATAAACATATAGAATATAAAATTCATGCATGCCCACACGTATACTCGGAACAGTGCATCAGGATGGTGAACAGGAGGAAAACATTCAGAGGATCTGTCGAGTCCCTGCGTGCTAAAACGCGCGAGAGATAGTTCGCAGCCTTTCCAGACATCTCTTCTATCCATAAAGGAACATTATTTTTGTAAATAATTCCAAAAGTATATCACAAAGTAGTATGAATCACTTATGTAAAATCTCTATGAATTTAAATCAATTGTTCATCTGAATAGCGTCACATCTGTTGGCCCATGAACATCCCCGTAAGAATTATATTGTATTAACCTTCGAACATTCGTAACACAAAATTGATCGGAGTGCAAAGTTATATTCATAAGTTCTTTGTTTTCATTTAAAAACATTACATAAGACTATCCTATGTACCCACAGTGGCAGAACTGCGACTCACGAGTCGCACACGGCTCTTTTAGACCCTCACTGCGGTTCCTGTAGCTTTATACATACTACATACACCTTTGAAATATGATATTTTTGTAAATTTGCTGACTTTATTATGTAGTATGATGTACACAAAGATTGTAAGCGTGACTCACAATTAGAGGATGCGGTTCTCGAGTACATACTTCTAATAGGCAATGTATGGCCCATATCCTGATAAGGTTTGGCTACCACTGCAATATACTATAAAAGAGGAGTAAAAATAAATATTACAGACGGTAAAGCACAAAACTAATCTCACAATTTCGAAATAAAACTCTACGAATTTGAATCAGTTATTTATCTGAATAGCGTCGTATCTGAGCCTCGCACACGTGTCCATAAGAAATATACTGTTTTAAAATCTGAATTTTCGTAACATAAAATTAATCGGACTACAAAGTTATATTCATGAGTTTGTTGTTTGTAATAAAAAAATATTCATCCGATAAAAAACAAAATGATTTCACAATTTCGATACATACGCCCAGAGGCCGCCAATGGGCTTGTTTAAGAAGAATAAAGGTGTCATTTGCAAAGGAAGTTGCGTTTTTGGTGACAATTCTAGTTTGTAGTTATCTAAAAGGGTAGCCAAGCAGTGTTTCATCACTACCATCGCCATTCTCATACCGACGCACATCCTCGGACCCTCTCCGAACGGTATGAAAGCCATCTTCTCTATGCTGCGTTTTCTCTCTTCGCTGAAACGATCTGGATCGAACTTTTCTGGATCCTGCCAGTGTTCTGGATCCACTTGCAGCCCGTCGATGGATATAATTATATCAGTCCCCGGCTGTACCCAGACACGCAATCCATCGGAACCGACCAGCTCGATCTTCTCGGTGCAACGCTTCCTGAAGAAGCCCAACGCAGGGTTCAGGCGTTGCGACTCACTGATCACTTGTTCCATGTACGTTAATTCCTTCGTGGCCTCGTACGTTAACACACCTCCGTGTTTCGCGATCGTGGACTTCACTTCGTCCCTCATCTTCTGCTGAATGTCCGGATGTCTTGCCAATTGATATCCAACGAAAGAGAGTGTTATCCTGCTCGTCTCGAATCCGTCAACGAAAAAGGAGAGCGCGTGAGACGTGAGCTCCTCCGAGTTCAGTTCTTCACCGCTCGTCTTCGCGAGGTCGAACATCGTTTGGAAAAAGTCGTTTCTTGTTGTCTCTGCGGTTCGTCTCATCTGCAGATTCTCGTTGACAACCTGTCGGAAGAATTTGTCCACGTGTTTCGGCACGAACGAGATCCGCAGGAAACGATTTATAGCTGGTTTGAAGAAGAGAAGGTTACTTAGTAGCGCGTTTACGAAGTTCAACTCGAAGGTCTCTGTGCCGAGTTCTTGAAAAGTGTTTGGCGGCGGATTGTCGTCGAAGCTGTATCCCTCGATGCCTAGACCAGCATTCGCCACGGACTCGGCCGTGAATCTTCCGAAGAATTCTGTCAACTCGACTTCGTACTTGTCTTTTGTCTTCAGTTTTCTGCTCAGAAAATCTTCGAACTTCTTACCCACCCCGGCGACAGCTTGGAAGAGAATTTTTAGCCTCATGCTGGAGAACGCGTAGGTCAGTCGTTTTCGACCGGTCATCCATTGCTCGCCTTCGGCAAAGAATGGATTCTTGTGTAACAGAGGATCTACATCTGGCACCAGCTCCCATGCATTTTTATGGAAGCTCGAGAAGTTACTTTGCAGGATGTTCTTCACTAATCGCGGTTCTCGAACGACTAGTATCGGTTGGAATATATCGTATACTCCGAACATACTGTGTTGTTTGCATTCGTTGTACATCTTCTGAAAATATTTTCCCATGCTGTTTCGCAAACTGTATATCGGCAAGAAGTGACCGACAAACGGTATGAATCCATTGGCTGTCGGGATCCGACGTCTTTTCCAGTAAGTGTATACGCTTATTACGTAGAGCAGCAGTACGGCCAAAGCACCGGCAAGCAATTTCAAAGTCGTTGATTCCATGTTTCGTCTTTGTGGACGCGATAAGCACAAACTGGTCCGCGAGCCGCTCGTTGTCTACTGTGCCTATGACCGTTCTGTCGCGTTCTGCGATGTCAACTGCATTCTCTCGCATGTGTTACATAGTGTGTATGCATATAGCGCCACGATGATAAACGTCTATCAGTTTTACCGGGACCCAGTGGCGGTGGCCGTTATCGTCTTACTCATATGGGGGGTTATGAGATGTCTGATCGAGTGTTTTGTACAAACCGGGATTACCGTGGTACAAATTGCCATATCATATTGTTCTCTTAAATCTTCGCTTTATCATATATTTCTATGCACGCGTTAAAGTGCACATCAGGGAACATCGAAGTCAGCCTCGCATGTCTCGTTGCGCGAACGACTACGGAACGCTACGCCATTTCAGACTAAACCGATACACCGATCTGCATGTTACGTTAAGCGAAACTGCGTCTTCTGTTTCAGCTGCACTCCATTTAATGAAGTGGTCTTCGCGAACCGGTGAACTTTATGAAAACTTTGGTAAGTACTAGGCGCAGATTCGTAAATTATCCTCCTCGTCGCAATGATACATACATATAACGAGAACTGTCGTTCCAAGACTAATCGCTAGGCTTCGGTAACTCTGTTCGTTTTCACACAAGGCGCGAACTATCGGAAAACTGTTTTGTTTCCCGAGAAACTCTTACCGCTCCGTTTCGGGATACGGTTGCCGCGTGCTTGCTCGGAGATAGGTAACGTAGAAACGGTCGCAAGGATGCTCGTAACTTTTTGAGAAATTTATCTTTGAATTATCGACAAAAATTGTCTATTTGGCGGAATAAATGTAGTGACTTTTGAGAATCGTATGTCGATGATTGTGAAAAAACGTGAATCTGTTTTGGTGTTGTAAAAGATCTTACAGTCAACAGACTTCATTTCAGTAGCGGAAGCGGAAATCTGATATTATGTCCTTGAATCGAATATAGTTAGATGTCCCTCACGTATTATTACTTTTTCTGAAATTGTCAACTGAAATTAATATTTCTTGCATTTATTTAATATAAATAATATTGTGAAATTTTTAACATGCATCTTTATCATAATCAACTTTTTAAATTGCAAAAATGTGACAACATTAGGTCGGCCGACATATAAGTGGGGAGGGTTTTTAAGTTGGTCATTGTATTTGATTTGTCAATAGTATACGATGGATATATCAGGTTTCAGAATTATTTACAGCAAACAGGACTCGATAAGGTTGCTAGAAATAACAAAATTCCAATTTAAATAACAATTTTGGGTTACATATTTGTGGTGAACGAATTAACAAGTTGTACATAAAGTTTTGAACACATAGAGGTATGTACATGATGCGTGTTTATACAGGGTGGCCAATGACTGACTATCTTGAATATCTCTGTTATTTTTAGAGATATGGACAAGTTATGTTTACAAAAATTCTTTGGTAAAGGGGGGCCGATAACGTGCAAGTAATATTTTTTTTTCTAAATTCAAAACTGTCGGAGATTTCAAGTTCACCTTAATTTTTTTAAATGGTCTGCTATACTTTTTTATTCCTTGTAAAATAACGGGTGTTTAGGTGATTTCTCAACAACCTCTAATACAAGGTCATTGAATAATAATAAATAAATCACGTGTTCAGTGGAGTCACATTGCTCAAGTAGTCTTCAATTTCCATTTTAATTAGTGTACGTGACTTTGACAACTGTAACGAATGATGTACACGTTACAGATGATGTAAGGCCAACAAGCCGTAAAGGACAGAACAATGTTTCTTTTGTAATTATATTTCTTTACATTCTTATAGAAATCCCCATGTGTATAATGTGTGCAGCTTTTCATCTACTTCAGCGATGATGCCGATGTTGAAGTTCCGGTAGCACGTAAATCAAATTTACCACTCGAGAGCGTTGATTTGTCAGTGAATTTTGCATTCTTGATGGTCTGTTAAATGGAGCTTATGTGTAGGTTGCTTCTGATAAGCGATCCTCTTGCCTCTCTCTGCCTCTCTGGCCTCTGCCAAAGGCAGAGCCTTTGGTAATTAAGTCGAGCCCACAGCGACGACGCTTCCATTGTGCAGGGCAAATGGGCTGTTTAGCCCGGATACATGACTCCATCCTCCTGTTATTGTGCATGTACCGACGCAATCGATCACCAGCTCTACCTTAGTCTAGTCCTCTGCACTCTTCCCCGTTGAATTCTCTCGATACCTTTCGTTTCTTCGGTGTACCCCCCTCCCCCCGATCTGTACAATTCGGCGATACTATTAGAGTCATCAAAATTGTGTATCGAATAATATATATATACGAGTAGAAATAAAACATATATATATCCATGACAAAGATATATTTTGAATCTATGGTGAATTTTCTATGACGTATTGACTTTAAACCCTCTGATTGTAATATAAGTACGTTTTCTCTGTTATCATTCAATACATTTTATGCGCGTCACGTGTCTAGCACGTGAAGCGATCTAGGACAATGTTTGTAATACACGTCTGTAGCTTCATATCATTACGCAACATCGATAGAAACATACACTGAATGTGTTAAACATGCTTTCATTATATCCAATTTTTAGTTTCAGTTTTAAAGCAAATCATATCCTATATGAATATAATACTCTCATGAGTAGAGTGCTGGTTTTATATATTTATAGCCTGTAGGGCTGTGTGAAATACAGTAAAATAATCTTTCTTAACATGAAATTGATTGGACTGTAAAGTTGTGTTCCTGAAGATTTAAGTTTTTATTTAAAAATATTACATATAGACTCTCCTGTATACTGGAGAAGGTGAGTAGAAATATATGTATACTATACAGATAAAAAGAAATAATCTCACAATTTTGAAATATATGACCAGATGCCTTCAGTGGGCCTGTTTATGAAGAAAAAGGTTGACATTTGTAAAGGAAGTTGCGTTTTCGGTGACAGTTCTATTTTATAGTTGTCTAAAAGAGTAGCCAAGCAGTGTTTCATCACTACCATCGCCATTCTCATACCGACGCATATTCTTGGACCATCTCCGAACGGTATGAAACTCATCTTCTCTATGCTTCGCTTTCTTTCTTCGCTGAAACGATCGGGATCGAACTCCTCTGGATCCGACCAGTAATCCGGGTTCATTTGCAGCCCGTCGACAGATATAAGTACATCTGTTCCCGGTTGTACCCAGACGCGCAATCCATCGGAACCGATCAGCTCGATCTTCTCGGTGCAACGCTTCCTGAAGAAGCCCAACACAGGGTTCAGGCGTTGCGACTCACTGATCACTTGTTCCATGTAGGTTAATTCCTTCGTGGCCTCGTACGTTAACACACCGCCGTGTTTCGCGATCGTGGACTTCACTTCGTCCCTCACCTTCTGCTGAATGTCCGGATGTTTCGCCAATTGATACGCAGCGAACGAGAGGGTTATCCTGCTGGTCTCAAAACCGTCGGCGAAGAATGAAAGCGCGTGAGACGCAAGATCTTCAGTGTTCGGTTCTTCACCGTTTGCCTTCGCGAGGTCGAATATCGTTTGGAAAAAGTCGTTTCTTGCTGTGTCCGCGTTTGCTCTCATCTGCAGATTCTCCTCGACAACCTGTCGGAAGAACTTGTCCACGTGTTTCGGCATGAACGGTACCCTGAAGAAACGGTTTATACATGGTTTGAAGAAGAGAACGTTACGTAGAAGCCCGTTTACGGAGCTCTGCTCGAAGGTCTCTTTGCCGAGTTCCTGGAAAGAGTTGGGCGGCGGATTGTCGTCGAAGCTGTATCCCTCGATGCCTAGGCCAGCGTTCGCCACAGACTCGGCCGTGAATCTTCCGAAGAATTCTGTCAACTCGACTTCGTACTTCTCCTTCGTCTTCAGTTGTCTGCTCAGAAAATCTTCGAGCTTCTTGCCCACCCCGGCAACAGCTTGGAAGAGGATTTTCAGCCTCATGCTGGAGAACGCGTAGGTCAGTCGTTTTCGACCGGTCATCCATTGCTCGCCTTCGGAAAAGAACGGATTCTTGTGTAACAGAGGATCCACGTCTGACACTAGCTCCCATCCATTCTTATGGAAGCTCGAGAAGTTACTTTGAAGGATAGTCTTCACTAATTGCGGCTCTCGAACCACCAGAATGGGATTGAACATATCGTATATTCCAAACATGCTGTGTTGTTTGCAGTCGTTGTACATCTTCTGAAAATATTTTCCCATGGTCATTGGCAGAGTATATATCGGCAAGAAGTGACCGAATAATGGTACGAATCCCTCGTGCATCGGGATCCCGCGTCTTTTCCAGTAAGTGTGTGCGCTTATTACGTAGAGCAGTAATAGGGCCAATGCACCGGCAAGCAGTTTCAGTGTCATGGATTCCATGTTTCCTCTTCGTGAATGCGAAACGCACAAACTAACACGTGAAGCTACTCTTCGGCTACTGCGCCTATAGTCTTGCGTACTCCGACGACCACTATATTCTTTCGGATATATTACATAGTGTGTGTAAACATTTATCATTTTATCAGTGACGCAGAGCTGTCTGCTCCTAGCAACTGACCCGGACGTAGTATTATCGGATGATTCAACAAGTATTTTGTACAAACTGTATTTAACGTGGGAAGAGCGTTTCATTACTCTGACGTTAAAGTGTGCTGGCTGTGAATAAATTTTTATACTTGCCGGATCCTGCACCTTCGGTTTGGTAGAGATTGAGATAGAACGTTGTTCAAAATTGACTATGACCTTGAACTCGAAGGTTAAATGTTTTATCATTGCATTATGTTCTACTCATCGTGGGGATAAAAAGTCTGAAAGGTACCATAGGTCAGAACTCAACCATTCGATTGAAAAATGATGTTGAACTTTCATCCGTTTTTGAACTGATTTTATTTACAATATATTTATATGTCCCATTCAGAACTCAGATATCGATCTGCACGTCACGTTAAGCGAAACTGCGTCTTCTGTTTCAGCTACACTTCGTTTAATGCATTGGCGTACGCGAACCGGTGAACTTGATGAAAACTTTGGTAAGTACTAGGCGCAGATTCGTAATTTATCCTCCTGCCCGCAATGATACGTGTACCGAGAACTGCCACTCCAAGTTTAATGGTTAGGCTTCGCTAATTCTGTTCGTTTTCACACTGCAAGGGGATTATCGGATAGTCATTTTGTATCCCAGAAACCTTTTTACCGTTCCGTGTCGGGATCGGCCTGCCGCGTTCTATATCAGAGATAAATAATGAAGGTGCGGTTGCAAGGATGCGCGAAACTTCTCGGGCAACTAGTCCTGAAATTATCGATAAATATTGTCTATCTAGTGGAATGAAAGTAGCGACTCTTGAGAATCGAATATCGATGATTGTGGAAATCGTGGATTGATCTGTTGTGGTGTTGTAAATTAGGGGACTACGGTGTTTAATCTGAAATCACTTTATTGTAAATAGATGATCCTATAGGCAACAGACCTTATTTCAGTAGCAGAAATGGAAGTTTAATATTATGTCCTTACAATTACATTTTCCGAAATCCTCAACTGAAATTAATACTTGTCACGTTTATTTATTGCAAATAATATTGTTAATTTCTTAAGAACCGTAAAAAAATTGACCTCTTTTGCTGGAATGGCTTTTGTTGTTTATTATTCATTGGCTGCTATTTGTTTCATAGATGGTAGTAACGCGCTCGCTTTCAATTGTTTTGGATGTGATCGTCATGGATATCGCTCAATTAATTTCCTTCGCAAGGGTTTAACAAGCTGTGTATAAGGCTATTGCACACAAAGAGGTACGTCTCGTGTGTATGTAATGCATGTAAATTGAACGAGGTCGCTCGTTTGACAAATAAGCACAATCAGTAGTCAAGGTCACTGCGACACTATGTACTTTGTAGCGATAGGTGTCACGTGTGAAGTGATACCATGGGGGAAGTAGTCTTTATCATCTATTTCAATTAATCTATGTTACTTGTTAGCCTGGCAAGTGTAACGAATGAAGCACATGTTATAAACGATTTACGACCAATATGTTTTCAAGGATAGAACAATCTTTCTTTCGTAATTGAATTTCTCAAAATTGTTATAGAGATCTGCATGTGCTTCATGCATGCAGTTTTACATCTATATTATAGATGGTAATGATGTTGAAGTTCTGATAGCACGTAAATCAAATTTACCACTCGAGAGCGTTGATTTGTCAGTGAATTTTGCATTCTTGGGGGCCTGTTAAACGGAGCTTATGTGTAGGCTGCTTCTGATACGGGATCGTCTCGCTTGTCTTTCTTTCTCTCTCGCTTTCTCTCTCTCTGCCTCTGTGGCTCCTGCCAAAGGCAGAGCCTCTGGTAATTAAGTCGAGCCCACAGCGACGTCGCTTCCATTGTGCAAGGCAAATGGGCTGCGTAAAATCACTAAAAATGGATATTCTTTCTATCCTCTCCTTATCCTTCATGTAAAGTCGAATAGTTTGAGCCGAATGAATTGCCGTGTGCACTGAATATACCAAATCCATTCTTATAATTACCAAAATGCAAGCCTAAAGCAGTCAATCACCACGTGACGATCGCAGTAAAAACAGAGAAGAATCCCTCCTTTTGCAAAAGGAAAAAGAAAAAAACCTCGAGCCAGTGCTCGCCTTGAAACCTTAGAAACATCCGCCGGAGGATTTACGACGGAACGAGTTTCCAGTTCGAGTCGAATCTGATCGAATGAAACCCGATTCGAGGGTAATAATACATGCTGCACGGTGTTCTCCGTTTACCCGAAGTGCAATCCAGCAAACAGACCAGGGGGCCACGGATCACGCGAGAAGGGAAACGAAAATATTGTTCCGCGAAGATACATTTCGTTCGTGTTGGCTGCGTGACACGAAGTGCGATGGCGCCTTCGTGTGCGCGATCGCTGTGTGCTTATGCTGAAACGTACCTCGACCGGGTGGATAGGAAATCCAGTTGAAACGAATTCAAGAAAATCCTCTCTGGGGAGTGGACGACGACTGGTGGCTGCTACCTCCGGAGGAGTCTCGGCGAACTCTTTGACACGGGGACACTTTAAAAACGTGCGAGGAATACCTAAAGTGCCGCCACTTTAGCGGTAACGACTCGCTCCCATTCCCCTCCTAGGTAGACGTGAGTTCTTTCTTGCGTTCGTAGACGCGAAATTACTTCTCTGCCGCGCTACGATTCGCTCTTTTTGGGATCTTAATTTAAATCGTGATTTCTTTTCATAAATATTTATCGCCGTCGCTGGTGGGAGGCAACGAGGGGGCTGTGCTCTTTTTACCGCAGCTGGCAGTCAGAAATGTTCATCTCATTCGGATTGACACTTTAAAAAGGAATATCATAAAAATCCACGTTAAAATCTCAGACACTAGAAGTAAGAGCCACCAATTTGTTCACAAAAGAGAGTTACAGCAAAATATTCAAATGTGGGGGACTCAAGTTATCTCGTTCAGGAATGTGAGGGTTAAATGATCGCAAATGGATTAACGAATTTCATTCAAAAAACCCACACGGTTTATTTGTCCGACTCTATCGTGACTTAACCAACGGACGGTTGCAGCGTTTCCCGCGGTGGAGGCGCGAATTTTCAAAACCCGTTGTGTTCCCGTGAAATGTAAGAAGGAGACACCGCGGGTCATAACTCTCGAGCGTCGAACGGAATACAGTTTCGCGGAAAACTTTCGGGTGAACTTTCGCGACACGTCGCGAATACTCCACGTACGTGAAAAGAATTCGGGAACCGGATGCGCGTGCGCACGCGTTCCAGATCGAGGGGAGGTTGGTTATTCGCGCGAGAAAAACGAACACGAACCCTGCCGCGGGGGGGATGACGAACGACCTCGATTACCCGGCAGTCCACGTATGTTCGAAGCCCGTGTAAGACGGATATTGAACGGCCATCAATGACGCCCCCGTCATTAAACCTCGTTTCTATCGATCACAGACGCGGTTTGGGAACCACCTGACGCGCCTCGTGGATCTGCCTCGTTCCGGAGGAATTACACGATGTTCACCGCAGATGCACCGATTCCGTCGGTGAATAATGGCTTCTTGAACTCGGGGAATCTTGTCACGGAATTCTTAGGTCGATAAATCAATCGACGAAACAGCGTTTCAACGTTGCAAATTCATCGGCAATTGGGGGAGGGGGGTGGTAAGTGGGAGTTTCTTGAAATTTCCTCGAGATTAATTGTTATTTTTTTTCTCTGTCAGGGAGGATCAACCATCAATTGTCAACACTGGTTATGGTATAGCCTTGAAAAAAGATTAAAGTTTTTACTAATAGTTCTCATCCAGAGGAACCTAATTCTGTTTTAAATAACATTCTCCGTCTAAGAAAAACGCGACTTTGAGGAGATATGACAAACGAGGGTTAAGCAGAAGATAATACGGTTTTTAGTTCGAACGATGACTGTGTTTCGAAATATTTACGAAGGAAATATAAAAACTCGTTGCAGATCCCGGGTCAATAGTAACCGCTCGCAACGATAAAGAATGTCTGAGTGATTCATGGCCGGTGTTATTCCTGTTGGAAGGGTTTTTCGATAAAATAATATCGATTCTCTTGGGATGGTATTATTGAAACGAATTGTTTTCGTGATTGTTCGGGCTCGTATTGGTCACGTACGATTTTTCTACGCAACAACATGTCAGGAGTGGAAATAGAGGGAGATAGAGGGAGGGGAAGAGCACTTATCGGGGAATAGTGTCGAGTAATTTGAATTTTAACGACCGAAGCGAAAAACGGAGAGTGTCTGATGTAAAAGTTTTCCGTCAACCTTTCGATCACCGTCCACTCCATTTTTGGCGATGTAACGATGGTTTACAATGTACTTGTAAGAAGATTGTAACGTCCACGAGATTGGATTTGCTGCGCGGGACACGCGTCATTTGGACATTGTGTCGATGTTTTGATGGCATCTATTCGAGAGTAAAAATAGTTACAAGCAGAGAATAGATCATATCGCGTTGATTTGTTGCGTCAGGAAGATTAGTTTAATTATGGCTCAAGATTATCGTAACTTTGCGTGACCTTATATAATATTAGTACGCAGTGTACATTGGCAAGGAAATTTTATTACCGTAAACGGTTGCGAACGATTTGCTGTGACAATATTTTATCCATAGAACAGTTATTTACTACTTTTCAACGCTGATTCCCACAAACAGTACACGGTCAAGCCCCATTTCGTTTTCTTTCTACAACCATGTCTACACAAACATACACCAACCTGAAATTGTTACCTTCGCTACCACAGAAATACATATAAAACAATCAGACACTGAACCGCATCAACGAGAGAAGGCACAGATCAACAGTCAACAGAACACACTTGACATTCAGAGAGGAAACATCGATCATTCAGATAGAACTCACCTATCAA